AAGCGCAGGAGATGAAGAGGAGGTAAGTCTTGACTTCAGTCGGTTTCTGTTAGGGAGGAAGGACAGCTTACTAACTTGGTGGCAAAATCATCATCAGAAACAGCTACACTGGCAGAAGTAGCACCATAATGTCTTGCTTTTACACAGACCTCATTTTAGAGAGAACATTTATCTAGTTTTGCAGAAGTTTTATCAGGGTGCAGTTGACAGTGCTGAGGAATTATGTTTCCTGCCCTTTTATATCAAACTTTAAATATGGGTCTACCAGGATTTTTAATAATAAAATTGTAATCATAATTAATGTTTGAATAAAATTTCAGATTTATTCTTCTTTCCCGGTAGTTCATTCTGTAAAGGCAACATTTAGCTTTGGCAAATGTTGATTTTAATATTTGGCCATTTGGCATTATGCCAAAGTGTGTATTTGGTAAATTTCTAAAATAAACATTCATTTCTGCATCCATCTGTCCAGTCCTCCTAGTGAAACAAAAGTTTCACAAAGCCATAATTATTTCTATTATTTACAGTGTACTCTGGTCTTTTCTGTTTTATTTAATATTTTTAAAAGCCACTAAATTAGTTTTACCATCTACTAATATGTCATGATCTAGAGTTTAAAAATGTTGAGCCTCACTCTACTCTGGGGATAGTGACATTGTCTGGGAGGGGTCATTTTTGTATGCAAAATAAGGATGGTTTTCTTCCTCAGAAATGCATTTAAGATCTCAAAGACATGTTAAGACATAAAAAATGAATTAATGCTACTGCCAAGTAATTTTCTATAGTGGTTGTACCAGTTTACACACCTACTGGCAATGTCTGAGAATTCCAGTTGTTCCATATCCTTCTTAACACTTAGCGTTGTCAGTGTTTTGGGGTTTAACTATCATAGTGGGTGTGTAGTAGTTACACAGCCATTTTAAATGAAGTCCATCTAAAATGTCTCATGCCTCCCAACAGTTTTCAGCAGAATGTAAATGAAATAGTCGATCTGTTACAGATGACTAAGTTCTGATGTTTTGAATAGTCATTCTTCTTGCCATTTATGGTATGTCTGTCCATTGTGGTGAGCAGTCTGCTTTTAATGCTGTCCTAGTGGCTCAGTCTAGAAGCTTTTCCTCCACTCTTCCACCAACAGAGAATAAAGTAGATCAGAAATTGTATGTTTGAGTTTGTAAGCCCCAAGTCCTTCTATGTGCTGCTTCAGGGCCTTAGTGCTGCAACAATACATATTCTTTTTTCAGACCTCAGAAACAGCAAATTCTCGTACTCGTTGCCTGTTCGAGACCCCATCCCAGATCCCCTTCCCTCTATCAGCCTCAACTGCTATGGACAAGGATTAGTTTATTGAAGTCGGGGGTGAGGGGAGGTTGGGAGGTGGTAGTAGGGGAAGCGGTCAGCCTGACTCCAGAGGAAAATAGTGTTTGGCTGATGACTCAGCCTTTCACTACAGGGTCTAGGTGGGGTTGCAAACAAAAGAGAAGGGTGTGCCTGGCAAGGTGGGGAGCCAGCTGCTGTTGGTGTCATAGGAATTTGCTTATCTTGCTTATGTTAGGAGGCCAGCCCTGCTGAAGTCCTTAACACCATTCACATGCTAGTTCATGTTTATGAGAGTCACATAAAGCATCAGGCAAAAGATTGGGCCTGTTTCCAGTCTTAATTCAGGGTGAATTCCAGGGTGACTTCAGGTAATTCATGCCATCTTCTCAGTTCCACTTTCTCCCTTCGTTGTATGTAAACAGACTTCTGCGAGAAAATGGTCAAGATGAAGGGTATCTGGAGAAGGCATCTAATTTAGCCTCTCTGCACATACAAGAACACAACTATTTTACGTTGTGAATCTGCCTTCATTAAATATGTTTGGAATTGATCAGCGCCTGCTCTTGATGACTTATTAAGATTGTTTTTTTGTTTGTTTGTGTTTTGGATGTCTGCAAGGACAATACTATAGAAACACAGAGTACCCTGATTTTTTTCCCTTTAGTACTCTGTGTAAACCTGTGCTATAGAATCTTGCACACAGTTGAATTAAATATGATATAAAAATGATCAGTGAATTAAGTATTATTAATTGCTATTCTCTTGAGAGGCTATATCCAGGGTTGAAAGTCATCTGTTTTGCTTCTTTATGCTATTCTTTCATAACCTCTGCCTGCTTCTTTGTATTCTTTCATTTCTACTTGACTCAGCTTTGAGAATGGAATAAATTAAGGCCTAGAACTTTTATAATGTATGAGTTAAAAGGGACCCACAAGGGGCTAATGTCTCAACATTAACTGAGAAAAAGGATCGTGTATGTGAAAGTGTTTTCTACAGCATTACATAGAGAGAGCGTTCCCTCGTATAATGGCCTAGAGGGTTGCCTGATGTCCTCTGTTTAGTATAAATCAAGATGCAAATAAATCTCCAACTTCCTCTTAAGTTGTGAACATTTTAAGTAAGACAATCGCAAAAGATACAGTTACAGAAATCAGCGGCTTAGTCACACTCCAAGTTTTCTTTTTCCAGGTTTTAAAATTTATACTGAATTTTCTCTAAGCTCGTTAAGTTGACATTGGATCTTGTTTCCAAAATCATACATAGCCTGTCTCATCCCTGCCCTTCCCTCAAAGGAGCAAGAACATTCTGTCATTATTGAGTTTGGTCACGAGTGGATGCTTCCTTGTGTAACTTCTCTTTGGAAAGTTTGAAGTAATCAAGATAGTTAATCTCTCCTCTCAGAGAGACAGGTCGGCAGAAAATATTTCTCCTGGCAGCTCCTCCTTCCATTTAATGTTTCCTTTCTTAGGCCTAAGGGTGTGGGGTAAAAAACAAACTCCAAACAAAAAAGAGTTTTCACTTTTGCTTCTAGAAGTGGCACTAGAATTCAGATCGCAAAAATAATGTTTTCTTGCAGCCACACTAAGTAACAGGGGATTTGAACGGCTCTTCTATATTAGGGCATTTAGAAGAAAGAATGATTCCCACCCCACTATACCCGCAGTGAAAGTATCTTTATTGTTTTCATTGATAATAAAAGTGATACACGCTCAGTGTAATAAATTTAAACAATGCGTGTAGAGTAGAATGTGAAGATTCCCATAATTGGTGTTTTCACTCAAGATGTTTGTGTGCTGTTAACATAAATAGATGGTACTTGGCATACTGTTCTATAACGTGTTTTTTTTTTTTTCCACTGAATATTTTGCAGGCTTTTTGCTACATCAGTGTCTGTGGGTCTGTCTGCAGCATTCTTTTTAAATGACTTTATCATAAGGTTGAATCAGAGTTGATTTACATAGTCCCTTCTTAATGGACATCATGTCATTTCTCATTTTCTGATGTTCTAAATTTGTGTCATTCAGTATGCTAGCCACCAGCCACTTGTGGCAATTTAACCTTGTTCAAATTAAATAATGTGTAAAAATCAGTTCCTCAGTAGCCATATTTCAAGTGCTCAGTAGCTATATGTGAGTAGCACAGATGTAGAGCTTTTCCATCATTGCATAAAGTTGTATTGGACAGTGCTGTTCTAAACTACTGGTTTTCAGACTTTTTTTTGAGTACATGTTTCCATTCCTTAATTCATCCTTTCTTCATTCATTCAATAAATAATTATTAAGTGCTTCCTATGTGTCAGGCACTGTGCTAGGTACTTGGATATATCATTCATAAAACAAAACACCTACCCTCATAATGCTTAACATTCTATCAGCAAAAGGTTTTGACTGCTCCCAGTAAATGTATTTATAAGTTGTATTTGTATTCTATCATGCTGTTATATTTTATTTACTTATTTATTAAATATTTATTTATTTATTTATGGTTGCATCAGGTCTTAGTTGCGGCACGCAACTAAGATTTTTTTCGTTGCAGCACTCAGGCTCTTCGTTGCGGTGCGTGGGCTTCTCTCTAGTTGTGGCGCACGGGCCCCAGAGCTCATGGGCTCAGTAGTTGTGGCATGCGGGCATAGTTGCCCTGCGATATGTGGGATCTTAGTTCCCCGACCAGAGATAGAACCTGCATCCCCTGAATTAGAAGGTGGATTCTTAACCACTGGACAACCAGGGAAGTCCCAATCATGCTGTTATATTTTAAAACATGTTAAAATAGGAATGAAAATGAATAAGATAAAAATGTACATAATTTCTGAAGTAGTCTTCCTGTGTCCCACCTTGGGGACCACTGTTCTGAATAATGCCCTTGGACTAGGTGGTCATCTCTAAATGTTCTTCCAGTACTGAAACTGAACTGTTATCACATTTTAAGTAGGTAGTTCTTCTATTTTGATATGTGTAGGCTTTTTCCGACACTGTTTGAATTTGTTCTTATACTTATCTATTTATTTAGCAAGCATTTATTAAGTTCGTACTGTATGTCAGGTAGATGCCAGGAGATTGAACAAGTCAGGGTTCCTGCCCTCAAATGAGACAGGCCAGCAAATCAGTTATTCTGATACCAGGTGTTATGGAAATGCAGCAAAGGGACATAGAAAGAGAGAGATGGTTTGGCAGAATGGACAGCTCTCATGAACATGACTCATTTTTGGATAGTTATTGAACTCTGTTGTGGGACTTAATGGAATCACAGATTTCTCCAACAGGTACAATTTTTCTCCCTGATATTTTCTTTTCTCTTGGAAAATATAAAATCCTAAGCCATTAATTTAAGAATATTCAACTACTGTTGATTGTCCCATTAAGTATCTCTTTATGTTAAACTCTCACCTTTCTGTTTTTAAACTTAGATCTTAGGGTTGGAGAGGTTCTACCTAGGACAGAAGCTAAGTACAAATAATTAGGTAGCTCCTGTTGTTTGAGAGGGGGAAGGTATGTGTTTATTCATACTTTCATTTAACAAATATTTTAAAAATACCTCCTATGCAGAAAAAACACTTAATTCCAAAATAAATTTCTCATAGGGGCTTTTAGTTAAGGAGTTCTGAAGAATATAAAGGAAAATACTGTTTACAGCAAATTTAGAAATGAAAGAATTGATCATGTGTTTTTTCTTTCTTTCAGGGCAAGTTAAAGTGTTCAGAGCTCTTTATACGTTTGAACCCAGAACTGTAAGTATGCAGTTTTTCACTTTCAAATTGACATAAAAACCAAAAGGGATTTCATTTAGATACTTCCTCTGTCCTAAATGGCCATCAGCTGCTTCAGCCCTTCATTTGACTAAGGACAGAGTCCTCTGTGGTCCAGCCCCCTTTCTAGTCCTGCCATCCTCCACTCCTTCCCCTTCGTGGACCATTCCAGTCTGGATTTGGTGCACAGTACAGCTCATCTCTGAACTCTTTGTAGACTCATGGTTCTGCACCTCTCTAAGCTTTGATCACACACTTCCTCTTCCATAAAGACTTTCTGATCACCCCCTGGAGGAGTGGGATGTCTCTCCCGCCTCTGAATTTCTGCACGTGGCATTGCAGTCTTGCTCACCAGCACAGTGTCTAGGGTGCAGAACACAGGGGTTTAGAACTTAGAGTAGCTTTTAGGACCCGCTCTGCCTCTTTTAGCAGCTGTGTGACCTGGTAAATTCAGAAATTGCCTAACCTCTGTGCCTCAGTGTACTCATCTGTAAAGTGAAAATAATAATAATCTCATAGCGTTTCAGTGAGAATTAAGTGAGATTGTGTAAAGCTGCTGTTACTGTTAAGGAGTCATTGTTACTATTAGAAGGAGTAGTGGTTGCTATATTCATAGACTCTTAACACACACTTTTGATTGGTTGATGTATTGATTACTTTAATTCACCTCCAGTTCTTTTCCAGGATGGAGTCTCTCTACTGTTATTTATTTATTTTTGGCTGCATCAGGTCTTCATTGCTGCGTGAGGGCTTTCTCTAGTTGCGGCGAGCAGGGGCTACTCTTCGTGGCGGTGCGCGGGCTTTTCATCACGATGGCTTCTCTTGTTTGGGAGCACGGGCTCTAGGCACGCAGGCTTCAGTAGTTGTGGCACATGGGCTCAGTAGTTGTGGCTCGTGGGCTCTAGAGCACAGGCCCAGTAGTTGTGGCACACGGGCTTAGTTGCTCCGTGGCATGTGGGATCTTCCTGGACCAGGGATCAAACCCATGTCCCCTGCATTGGCAGGCAGATTCTTAACCACTGCACCACCAGGGAGGTCCCTCTACAGCTTTTTAAAAGTCTTGGTTATTATTGAATGCACAGGAGAAAATAGACATTTAATTCACTAGGTGTTTTGAATATTCCACATTTAAAATGCTATTTTTAATATCCATGGTCCCAAGGATCCTAGGCTGTAGAGCAGTGCCGCTAATTCATCCTGTGTGTGCTGGATGGTCAGTAATGGCTACCTCATGCCCTGCTGCTCCCACACTCTGCTCCTCTCCATCTTCCCTCAATACAGATGTTGAAGGGGAGGTGTCTGGCTGATCAGGTCCCGGGGGTCTTCCTGACTGCTTAAGTGCCCATGCTGTACCAGTTGTTCAGTATTTTGAATGTCATCCTAGAACTAGGTTCATCTTAACATTCTTTTCTGAATGAGAATTTCTTTTGGACAAGCTCGGTTTGGTCTTTCTCCCCTGGGCCCAGTGGCCATCTTCTCTAGTGGGATGGGTGTACCCCAGTATATCCTAAACTCACCTAAAAGTCATTGAGACAAAGAAGTTGGAAGGGCTGAGCTGGACTCTGTGAGACCATCGCTGACATGTACAGCACCCCAGAAATACCTGGGTCCAGTTTTTAGCTACTGTACTACTCTCAGGAGATAGGGACAGCAATACCCAACTCATCTCGGTGATCCACTGGGAAGCTTGTCACTCTTGGTTCTTCCTGTCAATGCATTTCTCTCCTCTGTCGTGCATGAAGGCAAGGTAGTCCTGACATCACCCAGCCCTGTTTGGTTCTTATTTCTTACCCAACCCCTAATCCAATAAAGTGTCATATAGAGGCCTGGTAAGACTGGATAGACCAGTGTTGCACTGATGGAGAGAGAACAGCATTTCTCATACAGTTTTGAAATGACTGTACTTGGTGACAGTTTCCAAATCATGCATTTTACCAAACCACAAAAGAAAAGAATTATTTACAAATACCATATGATTTTAAAAATTGAGGTAAAATTCACATAACACAACATTAACAATTTTTTGTATTTAAAGTGAACAGTGAAGCATTTAGTACAATCACAATGTTGTACAGCTATTACCTCTGTCTAGTTCCAAAATATTTTCACTGTCCCCAAAAGCTGATTCCAAAAGCTGAAGTAGGAGCCCAGCCCTACCACTCACTAACTGTGTGATTCGTGGCAAGTTCTTCAACCTCTCTGAGCCTGGCTGTGAGATGGAGATTATACCCATGACCCAGCCCTGCCTTAATGGGCTATTGTAGGATCAAATGACGTTAAGTATGCTTTGCAAGTATAAGGCACTGCTGTTGATTTTGTTGTATTGCATTATGTTGGGGTGGGGAAGAGAGAAACAACAGATATTTTCCACAGCCATTGCCTTTTATCCTGATCATGACACCATGGCAGCCAGTAATGGCTATGCATGACCCTTCTGTACGAGAGAAAGCAGAGGTGGTGATGAAGGGCAGGGACTCCAGAATCTCAATGTCACAGTTCAAATTTAGGGTCTACCATGTACCTGCCGTATGGCCTTGGACAAGTTTCTCATCTATAATGTGATGATAAGAATAGCACCCACCTCACAGTGTTGCTGTGAGATTGTAAGTGTCCAGACCAGTGCCAGGTACATGATAATACTGTAAAGTGCTAAATGAAAACATCTGTGGAGAATTTGATTTTTTTTCTTTTTCTTTTTATTAATTCTCAGGGCTCCAGGTTGACAAATGTGGAAAATTTCAAAAGGACGTCACGGTCTTTCCAAAATTTTTCATAAAATACATATTTGCATAAACCAACCAAAATTAATGCCTTGAGAATTATATGTTACCAAGAATATATGGAACAGGATATACATTACCAAGTGGGTACTCATCCCTATAACATCCCAGTGGCCAACAATTTACTTGTTCTGATACCTTGTGGTTCTTCAAGGAGAGAGGAAAAGAAGAATGTGGTTAAAAACCAAAGAACAGACTAGAAATAGACAAGTGCTTACTTGATTGTATCACTCTTTTCCCATCATAGTCCATGAATACGATGCCAGGAATTTAAAAGTCGATCCTCACTGAACATTTACATTGTGTCCTGCAAGTGGTTTCTTAATGGAAAGTGTGAATATCGGAGGTACAAATCTATCTGAGTTTTAAAATCATGAAATTACCTTGTCGTTTATATTGCCACCAGCAGTCTGAAGAATTTGGTAAACGACCTCCTCAGCTACATTAGGAAGAACCGCCCCTAGCTTCTTTGGAAGAAGATATTTTAGCGGGGGTAGCATTGTGTGTCTGGGAGCTATTGATTAAAAAGAAAATAAACGTTCCACTCTCTTTTCTCAGGATGAAAACTTAGCGAGACCTTTTTTTACCTAACTGAAATCGACTGCCTTTTGTTGCTCCCTTAGTTGAAAAACAAGTCTGATCTAACGGGTAGCTGAGGCAGGCACCGCTATTGAAAAGCAGCCATTAATTTAAAATCCGAAACAGCGCAAGAAGTTTTGAAATGACTGTACTTGGTGACAGTTTCCAAATCATGCATTTTACCAAACCACAAAAGAAAAGAATTATTTACAAATACCATATGATTTTAAAAATTGAGGTAAAATTCACATAACACAACATTAACAATTTTTTGTATTTAAAGTGAACAGTGAAGCATTTAGTACAATCACAATGTTGTACAGCTATTACCTCTGTCTAGTTCCAAAATATTTTCACTGTCCCCAAAGAAAACTCTGTACCCATTAAACACTGACTTCCCATTCTTCCAGGCTTTATTCCTTTTTATGAGGAAGACTAATTACAGAGACTTGTGTATGTTCTTTGTTTTTTAAGTTATGTGTTTGGCACTTTCTCAAAATTTGCCTTTTGTTTCAAGGGAGAATGATCTTATTAAGTGTGGAAATTCAGGCAAACTTGACTTTTGTGATTTTAGACATGACTCCTTCACTTCAACGTAAGCACTGGTTGAGGAGGATTGATTGTTAGACGTAAGTGGGCAAGGTTAGCTTCTCTTCAAGACATTGAACTCTTTCAAAACTCCAAGAAACTCAGTCATTCCAAAAAAATGCTAAGATTTCACATATATTCTATTTTCTTTACTTCCTTGCATCCTGCTTCATTCTCCCCACCCATTCCTTACTGTTGTAAGGATGGCTACTCCATCCCACCAGCTGGGATGCTATGGTGGCAGTGAGTCACCTTTCTGGCCTCTGAGAAGTGAGCCAGTTAACGGCAGGGAAGTGCTAAAGTAAACAATTTGTTTCCCTAATCACTTTCTATATCCATCACATATTGGTAGTAATATTGATCATAGATCATCAGGACATTTTAGGGAAAAATTGAGAAAAGTCTTAGAAGGCTTTACTTTTTTTCTTCCAAATGCCTATTTCCAATAATATTAAAATGTATGTCATTGATCTACACAGGCTCAACTAATTTTGCATAGATATGCTATGTGTAAGTCTAGTCTCTGTAGATCGAAGTGTAAATTAAGAAATGCTTCAGAAAGTGCTTTTTAGAGGAACTCACCTTTTTTAGTTTCATTAATCATCATTTGCTAATTTTTATATTTGAATGCATATTGCATCTAAATATTTATGAGTTGTGGTTGCTTAAAGCATGATATAGCTGATATAGTCTTCATCTATATTCACGGGGAAATAGTTATAAAAATAATAGAGATCATCTTTGAAACTCAATAAATGACTGTTGCAGAGTCACATTTACTGCCGTAGTCTGCAGCTGAGAGAGATAAACGAAAGGAAAGAATGAAATAATTTGTTTCACTAGCATAATTTTTATTTGTGTGGAGCAGTAACTGGAATCAAATATCAAAGCCTTTTAAAAAAATTTTTTTCCAACCAGCATTATGAAACTAATATGTGCTCATGATCTTATCCTATGTAAAATTTTGTGCCCTACATTCTTCACTTAGCATGACAATGTAAACATTTCCCAATATCTGAAACTTGCTCATCAGTAGACATAAATATACACATATATATATTCTGGCCACGCCAGGCGGCTTACAGGATCTTAGTTCCCTGACCAGGGATTGAACCTGGGCCACAGCACTGTAAGCGCTGAGTCCTAACCATTGGACCACCAGGGAACTCCCTAGACATTTTATTTACTCTTACAGTCATGCTGATAAGTGTTATCTACTGATGGGAAAACGATATTTAATTAAAGTGCCCGGCTTTATTCAGGGAGTTTGTAGGACATTTGGCTGGTATAAGAGCATGTATTGTCTGTGTAATTAATTAACCCCTTAGAGCTTGCTTAAGGTCTAGAATGAGTTACTGCTTCATATCTTTCAGCTCTTTAGTCTTTTTTTTTTTTTTTTTTTTTTTTTGGCACGCGGGCCTCTCATTGCTGTGGCCTCTCCCGTTGCGGAGTACAGGCTCCAGACGCACAGGCTCAGCGGCCATGGCTCACGGGCCCAGCCGCTCTGCGGCATTTGGGATCTTCCCAGACCGGGGCACGAACCCGTGTCCCCTGCATCGGCAGGCGGATTCTCAACCACTGTGCCACCAGGGAAGCCCTCTTTAGTCTTATTAATGGTTGAATTACGTATTAACTGTTCTCATATATAAGATATTCATTCTCTCTGAACATGAAGAGTTAAGATAATGGTTTTCTCAAAATAAGTAGAGAGCGATGTTGATATGAAAGTGTTTAAGGATTGAAGGCTAATCGTTTAGGAGAGAGCCAAGCTTCTAGCTATTTTTCATGGTTTTAGTTATAGACATTTATCCTTTTATGAAAAAATATATATCACCTTTTGAAATTTTTACAATGAAAAAGTTTTATTAATATTCTATTTTGGTATAAAAATGCCTTGCTTTCATTGGGGAAGAAAATAAGGTGTGTGTGTGGGGGGGGAGGAATTCTTATTTCTTATATTCTTTGAAGTTTATCGTGGGAAAATTCACATTTCTGTGCATGTGTTAGCTTGTCAATAATGTTATATGGTTTATGTGCAGATTTAAGAATATAAAAACTACGCTGTCTATAAGGATTTTAGAATGTGGAATTTGTATAATTATCATCATCATTGTATTCTAATTCATGAAAAAAATCACATGGAGTAAAACTTAATTTTTTTTTTTTTTTTAGCCAGATGAATTGTACTTTGAAGAAGGTGATATTATCTACATTACTGACATGGTAAGCCCAGCCAATATTTTGTCCTACCACGCATGAACTAAAGATGTATAAGACTATTTTGTATAGCTGTAATATTGTACATTATTTACATGTATATCTGTATAGAAATACATATACCCAAGTTCACTCACTGAGCATAATTTGTAATAACGTAAGATTGGAAGTAGCCCTTACTCCATCAATAGGAAAATAGTTGAATAAACGTTGCTCTATCTACAAACAGAGTATTATGCAGCTATAAAAAGGAGTGAGGAATATCTCTGTATGATATTATGGAGTAATTTAAGTGAACAAAAGCAAGGTGAAAAAAATGTGGATAGTGTGCCTTATGTAAGTAAGAAAGGGTGAGAGGATATACATATACTTATTTTCCTCAATTTAAAATAAAAAGTCAAAGGAGGAGTCATAAATTTTTAAAAAGTAGTTTCTTCTCTGAAAGGAAAGGGAAAAGGGTAGAGGAAACATAGATGGAATATAGACTTTTTAAAAATTACACCTTGTTTTGGAGATCTGTCTTTGGAATCATGTAAACTTTTGCATAGTTATAAAATTAAATTAAATGATAAAAAGCAATCCCTAAAAATTAAAAGCAGAATGAATCAAATGAACTTAGTTGTACCCCAGGTATTTGGCATGACACACAGAGAGGAACTATTCCAAGTGACTTTAAAACTCAGCATTTCAACTGAATATCTCTAGTAGAATAATATGAAGAACAAAAAGAACTTCTACCCCCAAATTATAAACAGTTTTTAATCATGATGTTGGAGAAGTGTTGGTATTGTTATTCTGAGATTGATGCATGTGTGTTGCATTTTAGAGCAAATGAGTCATTAAGTCAATGACGTTGAAAACTGGCAGTTTCAGCCTGCAAGAAAGGATGTACAGATAGATGTAAGATCAATGAAGTTAAGTAGCTCTGCATTTGAATTGGAAGTATGTTGTATATTATCTAAAATAAAATAAACAAAAAGATTTCTGCTCTGTCCTTTGAAAAGGCCAAAAAAAAAAAAAAAAAGACCAACCTAATAATAATATGTTATTTCCCATTAAAAGGAACAAAGTTCCTTTGAGAAATGTCTGGTACCAGGTTGGGGGCAGGAAAGGTACAAGATAATCCCAGGACATCTCATTCTTAGACAGCAAGGAAACTCCCAAAGACTACTAGGGTCACACTGGAAAGCCACAGAACTAAATTGAAGAGGCTGCCGCTGGTCAAAGATAGGACAATATGAGCAATCAGTTAGGGCAACAATCCCAAGGATTGAAACAAATCTACTCTGTTTAAATTCATGAGCTCCTAACGATACTTAAAAACAAAAATCATTGGTCAACCTGAGAGAATGCTAGGGAACTAACTTTTTATTCTGATGACTGTTAAGGAAAAGAATCAGTATTTATTCTGACAACTCTAAAGGAAAAGAATCAGTATTTATTCTGCCTTTCTCCATGAACTTTATCTCTGGGTAACCTGAGAGTTGATGAGGGAAAGTTCGTCTTTAAAGTAATATTCTAGTTATTTAAATGAAGAAGGAATGATAGAATTAGACTGTCACCATTTGCAACCCTTATGAAATAACGGATCCAAATAATGCTCATCAGTGGTTACTAATGTTACAAACTAATGTGTGTCTCCTGATGGAAGAATCAATGCTACACATGAAATAGTCTTGCTAAAAAATTGAATCTGAATCTAATTAAGCCTCTAGAACTAACGACCGATTTATAGGCACTACAGGGAGCAGAGGAACACATTTTTTTATAACAAGGGATACAACAAGGAAAATCCAGACTCTTCCAAACTCTTCGGAACAAACTAGTTTCTATGAAAAGTCTATTGTGAAGCAGTGAAAAAAAAATGAAGGGGGAAACTATACACTAAAAGAGACTTAAGAGGCAAGTCAATCAATCATACTGTATGGACTTTATTATAAGACATACTGGAAATTTTGAGTATTGTAGATATTTGATGATATTAAGGAATTATTGTTGAAAAAATTTTAAGCTAGCAAACAAAATAACACATAATAATGATGTTGTTATTATGGAAAAGTCCTTATCTTTCAGAGATTCGTATTAAAATATTTACAGATAAAAGAATATGATGTCTAGAATTTATTTCAGGATAATCTGAAGGGGAGGGAGGTTGTAGGTGAGGATATGCATGAAACAGTGTTGGCCATGAGTAAATAGTTCATACAGTTAGGAAATGGGTATGTGTAGGTTCCTTACACGGTTCCTTCTACTTTGGTATAGGTTTGAATTTTTCTATGATAAAAAGTTACCAAAAAAGCAAAGGTGAAATAAAGAGATCTTTAGAAAACCAAATATATGCATATCTTGAGACTAAGAGAAATTAGACTCTGGACCAAAAAAATCCTACAGATAGTCTAAACTAAACATAATTTTTCCCCTTCTCTTTCATATTATCTCTGTTTGATTTGTTTGAATGTGGAGTCTCTATGATGAAGTGTCTTTGATTTGTTGCAGGCAGATGTGTGTATATTTGTAATTTAATGATAAGGGGAATGGACATCCATAACTAGGGAGTGAGGAAGCTTGATCAATGTGACCAGGGCTGATGGACATTTGGTAAAGCAGTAACTCTGCATTTGAATTGGAAGTATGTTGTATTTTATCTAAAATAAAACAAAAAGTGTCACCTGCTCTACCCTTTGAAAAGGCCAAAATGAGGCCAATATGCGCCATATGGTTTTAAAAATGACTGAATGTAAACTGGATTCGGTGCCACTTAATTTAAGTCTTCTTTCACCAGAGTGATACCAATTGGTGGAAAGGCACCTCCAAAGGCAGGACGGGACTAATCCCAAGCAACTATGGTAAGTATGGCAGCGGTGGCTTTACTTGGGCTGTACTTTGTGTATTTTCAGTTATCTGGTTCCTGAGGCCTTTCTGCTTCCTGCTGTGGCTGAGAAATCAATGGAGTCATTGCCAGCCTAGGGCATGTTCTACTCTGAGCCTCCTCTTAATAGAGTGGTCATGGATGCTGGATGTACTTGAACTTGACTCCTTGGCTTAAGAAAATGCATTGTAACATTCTTGAAAGAACCTAAGGTTTCCAGGGAAATACTTATGGTTTTACTTTATTCAACACTTAGAACATTTTTCTTTTTCTTTTCTTTCTTCTTTGTTTTTTTTAGACTAGCCCCCCTTTCTTTTGTGATGAAGTAACCTTGCATTGTTATGTTAATTAATGTTTGGGGCAGTGATGTTCATTAAATGAATATTAGGGCAGTTTGAGGCACTTGAGCAGTGAGACGCACTTCTAGTTGGAAGGGGGACAAAGCAGACTTTCGTAGAAATCAGCAGAGTAAAGTAAAAAGCGCACAGGATTGATAAACAAGGGTCCTGGGTTTTAATCCTTCTTCCACTTCTAACAGCAAGGGACCTTAGTTAGGGTACTTAACTGCTGCCCCTGGGACCGTTTCTCCATCTGTATAACAAGAGGGTTTGATTTAAATCACTTATAAGGTTCCTTGGGACTTTAGCATTAGATACTTCCTTAGACCAATAGGGCTGACATCAGGCACCAGTTCCAAACACTGGAAGGGGACTTAGAAATTTCAAGGAAGGCAATTCAAAGCTCCTAGGGGAGGGGAGGGGAGGAGGTGGAGGGGAGGAGAGAAAGTGGGGGGAGGGAAATGAGTGAGACCTGGGGCTCAACACATGGGCCCCACTTACCTGGTCTAAGGGCCATATCATTCTGGATTTTAAAAGACTTTAAGCATTTCTACACTCCTCTAACCTTTGAAATCCCAAATAAACAACTTCTCCAGCTGGTCATACACTGAGGGTGCAAAATGTTTCTCAGTTGCTAGATCCCTGGTAGCCAAGGGAGTATCTAGTTACAGCCCTTTGTGGTGGGAGGGGTGGGTGTGAAGTCTCATTTGAACAACAGTCTTCATGTGGTCACTTCTACTGTTTCTAGGACAGCAGTGAATACACCTTCCTTAGGGGCAGGTAGGTATGCTGATTGCCCGTTCTGAATATAGAAAGCAAAATATTTCTCCTTTACCTCACCCTTCATATCCACACACACAAGGGAGACAATTATTTTTAGCCATCTTCAAAGCAGGGTGTTTTTTTTGTTTGTTTGTTTTTGTGTGTGTGGTACGCGGGCCTCTCACTGTTGTGGCCTCTCCTGTTGCGGAGTGCTCAGGACGTGCAGGCTCAGCAGCCATGGCTCACGGGCCCAGCCGCTCCGCGGCATGTGGGATCCTTCCAGACCGGGGCACGAACCCGTGTCCCCTGCATCATCAGGCGGGCTCTCAACCACTGCGCCACCAGGGAAGCCCTAGGGTGTTTTTATAGAATGTAAAAACGAACCTCAAATGCTTTCTTTTGCAGTTTCCTGACTAAATTTGTTGGTGAAATATTTGAGCAAACTGGTAGGCAGACCCTGGATCTGTTTGTTTCTATTTATATTTCCAGTTAATTGCTATGTTTGTTTCTGTTTATACTCCCAGTTAATTGCTGTGTTATTGTCTTAGCTTGGCTTCTTTTGACACATAATTCAGCTTCTTTCAAAGCACAAAACATCACTTTTGATTTTCTGCCATTTTTTAAAACTCACATTAAGTAAGGGAAGCTGTATGGTGGAAGGTCCTGGCACTTCTGAAGCTGGGACACTGAACTGGCTTCAGGGAATCCTTTGGGTGGCCCTCTCAACATTGATTTGCATCTTTTTTTTTCCATCTAGTGGCTGAGCAGGCAGAATCCATTGACAATCCATTGCATGAAGCTGCAAAAAGAGGTAGGTCTGATTCTTTTTGATTGAGATAAAACAGTAAAACACAGACATATTAATTATGTAGTTTGATGACTTTTAACAAATGCATTTACCTGTGTAACCAACACCCAGATCAAGATCCAGAACATTTCTATCATCCCAGAAAGTTCCCTTCCCAGTTAAATCCTTGCCTCCCCCAGAGGCAATCTCTGCTCTGGCCTTCTTTCACTCTACAGAAATGTGTGATTTTAATTTTTAAAATGTCAGTCAACAAATAACTTTTGAGTCTTACCTGCCCTGTGCTTAGCTGCAAGTGGAAAGTCATGCTCTGTGACTCGCAGAGCTCAAAGTCTGGCAGGGGAGAGATGTGTGTAGCAGATCATTACAAGATGGTGTGATAAGTATAGCGGTTGAAGTGTGTTTCAGTTAAACAGGCTATAGAGGCCAGAATGAGTAACAGGAGGGCAGAGGGTGGGGGCTTCTCAGGGGTCCAGCACCTGGGAGAGTGTTGGTATATTGCAAGTATGAATGGTGAGGATGGAGTTGGGGAGGAAGGAAGCACCAGGGATGGGGCTTGTACGTGGGGCTTTGTCCCATAGATCAGTGGCTCTCCACAGAGGGTAATTCCTCTCTGCAAACCCTGGGACATTCGGCAGTATCTGGAGGCATTTTTTTGTTTGTTTGTTTGTTTGTTTGTTTTCTTGCGGTACGCGGGCCTCTCACTGTTGCGGCCTCTCCGGTTGCGGAGCACAGGCTCCGGACACACAGGCTCAGCGGCCAGGGCTCACGGGCCTAGCTGCTCCGCGGCATGTGGGATCTTCCCAGACCGGGGCACAAACCCGTGTCCCCTGCATCGGCAGGTGGACTCTCAACCACTGCGCCACCAGGGAAGCCCTCTGGAGGCATTTCGACTGTCATAACTGGGGGGATGCTGGCACCTTTTGCGTAGAGGCTGGGGATGTTGCTAAACATCGTGCAGTGCAGCCCCCATAACAAAGAACCCTCCAGCGCCAGATGTCAGTAGGGCCGCTGTTGAGAAACCCTGCTGTAGATCGTGGGGAATTTTTTATAAGGCCACAGTAAGCTCTCTTTCATTTAATTGTAGATATTTCTGAAATCTGAATGTGCAAAAGGAAATTATTGGTTTAGGATTGTGCATAAGTAGAACTACTAAATTGACATTTAAAAAATTCTTTGTAAACTAGATATTTAGGGCATTAGCCAGAGGATATTAAATGAGTAGTTATACTTTAACACATAAGAGCAGCAGCTTTGAGTAGGTTATTTAGTTTTTCTTTTCTTATAGGAACTGAAAATGCATTTTAAATATGAATATGAGTAGTGTCTGCTTGTTCTTAGGTTTGAAATTTTTTCCCGAAGTTCCAGGATTTCACAAAGGAAAAAAAAGCTTTTTTTACAGAGTAAAAATACCTTAAATGGACCCATTTAGGCAAGTCTTCCCATTAACCTACCATTAAAAATTGATGTTAATGCTTTCCATTAATAAACTGGAAGTCAAAATGTACCATAGAGAATGCATTATGGGGCAGGTTTTAATTTCAGACTTACTGATTAATCCTTTGCAAATGCGAATTTATGCAGGATGAAATTGATTGAAAAGCAAAACGAAAAAAACTAAAAACCTTTTTCATGTGTTTTTATAAATGTAAAATGTTTTCAGGCAACTTGAGTTGGTTGAGAGAGTGTTTGGACAACCGAGTAGGTGTTAATGGCTTGGACAAAGCTGGAAGCACTGCCCTGTACTGGGCTTGTCACGGGGGTCACAAAGGTATTACATTTTGTTTGTTATCATAAATATCTGTGCTACTGAAAATGTGCTTCATCTAGGGGAGCCAGACTTACACAAATGAAAAAAAAAATTGGTTATTCTTTTTAAATTTTTCAGAATGTCAGCCAAAAGCCCAGTCCCTGGAAGCTCTGTAAAACAGTAGGTAGAATGTGATTGGTCAGCCTCACTACACGGACCTTTTCACTTGAAGAAGTGCAAGCTTCCTCTCCTCTCTCAGACTTGCAAAGGTTACAGGAAAACAACAGTAATATAAAAACAAACCCCACTGTCTAATCTCGCAGAAGAAAGAACTAGAATTGATTCCTCTGACTTAGTTTTTCCCAGGAAGCTTTTTTTTTTTTTTCCGGTACGCGGGCCTCTCACTGTTGTGGCCTCTACCATTGCTGAGCACAGGCTCCGGACGCGCAGGCTCAGCGGCCATGGCTCACAGGCGCAGCCGCTCCGCGGCATGTGGGATCTTCCCAGACTGGGGCACGAACCTGTGTCCCCTGCATCGGCAGGCGGACTCTCAACCACTGTGCCACCAGGGAAGCCCTCCCAGGAAGCTTCTATGATTTACATTCTAAGTTTAAGATTTAGGAAAGAGACAGCATTTGCTTGAGTTAGTGATTCAGTTGACAACTTCCTCTGTTATAATCAATAATAATGACAAATGGAATTTCTAGCTGTATTTCAGCCTGGCTGAGAACCTACCACACCCACTCTCTTTCTCCCTCTTTCTACAACACACAGAAAATGATCCCAACAGTAATGAGAAAGAAAGAATCCAACAAATTAAATAGCGTGGCCAAAGGAAAATTTAAACACAGATTAGTGGTATGAATATTAAGTGCCCCAGCAAATGTAAAAATATTCCGATCATAGATGTCATGTGCAAATACAAAAGCCAAAATATTTGAAAAAAATTTTCCCTAAGTAATTCTACCTTTTATAGTCTTAGGTCTTCTATTTACATAAATGTTGAAAACTTTGTTATAACTATTTTCTTGATGATTCTTCTAAAAAGAATCCTCTCTTTTAAAATTATTATGCCGAGTCTTGTCAGACTTTTAGTCTCATTCTTTAAAAAAATCTTTTCTATTTGAATTTCAGATATAGTGGAAATGCTGTTTACTCAACCAAACATTGAACTGAACCAACAGGTGAGATTGCTTATGCAGAAGTCATTTAACCCACCTACCTTGCTCTCCTGGTACAGCTTATGTGTGTGTAAAATCCAATCTTGGTGTCTTGGAACTCACCTTTTCCCATTTATTATTTTTCATAAAACTTTTAATCAAAATACAACAAGCACATAGTTAAAAAATTATGATTACATTAAAGTCCAAATTGCATAAAGCCCCAAATTCCTGCCATACTCCTCCTCGTATATCACTTTCAGCTTTTAGTGCTTTCCTTTTACCTTCATGTTACTAAGGAATATGCTTGTGGAGCTGTCTCATAATTCATCATCTTCATAAAGTATTTTGGTATCCTATCTGGTAGGTGAAGGTTTACGCTTGTCAACCGCCCAGCTGTCATCTTCCAGCACCCAGCGCCCAATCTTTCCTCCTTCGGTCCTCCTAATGTATCATACATAGCAAAGTTCTTGGTTATATTACTATATAATGCTTATGGTATTATGGCTATTTAAATATCATTCAGTGCTTGTGTAACTTTTTTGTTTCTGTATTTATTGACTTTTATTTAGTGCTTTTTTTTTTTGTATTTCACAAAGACCTCTACACTGTTTTATACTCTCTTGATATACTTTTCTAAATTGTATAAGATAATTGCTCTCTTTTTTTTCTTCCTGGAATCACACTGAAGCCTTCCATCTTCATTCTCTGATCGGAGCAACTTGGTCTCTACTGTCCTTTGCTGTCTTCCTGGGAAACGCTTCACCTCTCTCCTGTGTTGTGTCCTCACTTTTCTGGATCCTCTGTCTTCTGTTTGTTGAAGAATACCTTCAAGTAAATTCCTGAGAAAGGGGAGCTTGGGCTTGACTATTTGGCTGATAGAATTCTGGGTTGAAAATGACTTCCCTCAGAATTTTGCAGGCATGGCTCCATGGTATTCTAGTTTCCAGGGTTGCTTTTGAGAGGTTTGTTGCCTTTTTGAGTCCCATTCTTTGTGTGTTAACTGCTTTTTCCCTTTTTTATTTGGCCGTGCTGCGAGGCTTATAGGATCTTAGTTCCCTGACCAGGGATTGAACCCAGGCTCCTGGGCCCTCAGCAGTGAAAGCGCAGAGTCCTAACCACTGGGCGGCCAGGAAATTCCCTGCGTTTTCTCATGATTAGAATTTTACTCTATCCGTGGTATTCCAAACTTTCACAATGATGTGCTTTTAGAATGGGTCTTTGCCTGAAAATGGTAGTGAACTCTTTCAGCCTGGAAAAATATCTTGTATTATTTCTTATATATTTTTATCTGTTTCCTTTGCTCTTTGGTTCTGGAGTGCCCATTAGTAGCTATGTGGGACCTCTCAGATTGAGCCTCTGATTTTCTTAGTTTTCCTCAGAGGTTTTCTCATCTTTGTGCTTTATTTTGGTCGCCTTTTTAATTCCCCAGAGCACTGTATTAGAGCTCTGTTGCTGTGTGACAAATTGCCACGTATTTAGCAGCTTAAAATATACCCATTTACCTTATGCTTTCTGTAGGTGAGAATTCTGGGTGGCATAGCTGGGTTTCCTGCTCAGGGTCTCACAGGTGGGAATCAAAGTATTGGCTGGAGTGGGGTTCTCATCTGGAGCTCGAGTCCTATTCCAAGTTCATTCATGTTGCTGGGAGAATTGTGTTCCTTGCACCTATGGTACTGAGGCCCTCAACTTTTAGAGACCACCCCTCCTGATGGACAGTTCACAACATGGCTGTTTGCTTTCTTCCTCAAGGCCAGCAGGAGATTGTGTTGCTGGTGCTATGCCTTTCCTTATAAGGGCCCACCTGACTAGGTCAGGTCCGCCCAGGGTAAACATCAACTGATTAGAAAATATGGGCGTGATATCCTGCTATATTCACTGGTCTCACCCACTCTCAAGGGGAGGAAATTATACAGGGAGCTGTATCCCAGGGGGCAGGGAGCTTGAGGGCTGTCTTAGAATTCTTTCTACCACAAGCTCCCCCTTTTACACTTATTTTTACTTTTACATAGCATCTTTTTCTCATTTCCTAACATAATGTCATATTATATCTCTGATATATTAATTATATACATATTTTAAAACATTTTCTGCTATTCACTACACTGTGTCTTTTTCCTCTGAGATCCATTAGCATTGTTTTGATCTTTCTTCGGATATTGGAGGCTGTCCTCAAATATACAGTACCTTTGTCTGTCCATTCATGTGTGAGTGTGACTGAAAGCTCTGTGTGCTTGTGGGGCTTATTGACTGGTGGTTTCCTCCGTAGGGTGAAGTGGTGAGGTCCTGGATGTTCTGCCGGCTTATACCCAGATGCCAGTTAAAATATTCCCTTCCTCCCCCGCATTGGGACTGTTCAGCTCTCCCAGAGAAGTATTCTCCAGCCTCCTCCCTGGGCGTAGATGCTAGACTGTACACACTGGGGCACTGGGGTAGGTAAAGGCAGCTGGGAGAGGGGTCTTACTGCTCAGTTTGCAGGTTTTTCAGCTAGCCCCCTGCTTTTAGTTCCTAGCCTAATTGCCACCTTCTCTTGTGCCTGCAAGTTCCATGAGCTTGGAAGCTATCTGGTTAATTTCTCAACAGGGTAATTCTACCATCTGTACTGGGTCATCTGGCAGCAGGGAGAAAGGAAGGTGATCTGGGGTTCTGGGGTTCTAATTACTCCTGAGAAACACTTTCACCCAGTACTCTTGGTTTCACTCCCATTCCTCATTCCTGTTCCCGTGTCTCCAGGCATCTCCAGTTCCTAATTCATGCTGGTTTCTGCGGAGACAAATCTGCTTGTTTCCTCCTGGCGTCTCCCTCTGCAGGCATCTGCACTTCCCCTTGTGATCTGCCGAGTCAGTTTCTCCTCTTCCATCCCATTCCCTTTCCCCAAATGACTCACCTGTCATCTTTTGAGTCTCCTTTCCCTCTTTGGAATTTTATATGATTTTATAACTTCGTTCTCATTTTAGATTTACTTAGGTTAGAGTAAACCTAAATTCATGCGCAGTTTCAATCCACACTCTCTTTTTAAAATGCTGCTTTCTCTTGTTATATCACCACAGAACAAGTTGGGAGACACAGCTTTGCATGCTGCTGCCTGGAAGGGTTATGCAGATATTGTCCAGTTGCTTCTGGCAAAAGGTAAAGTGTGCTTAGTTTTTCTGGTCTTTGCTTACCCTGAAAAATAGGCTATGTCCACTTTTACCACTTGAAATAGTAGGGAAAATAATAGGCTTCTTATTTTAAAACTGGAATTTTGGTCTCTACTCTGCATCAGAGTTGTTATGATAAGATAAAATTGAGGTGATTTGTGTAAGTTTTTAATTTTAACTCAAAAGCTTGGTAAGCTTTAAAATCACATATATTACCCTTAGTAAGAACTTATTGTGCATTTCTGCAGGATTAAAGGGCCTCAGAAAGAAGGGGTGTGTGTGTGTGTGTGTGTGTGTGTGTGTGTGTGTGTATGTATGTGTGCATGCGCACACATGTGCATGCACACATACAGAGGAGATCTCTCTAAGAAAGCTGTATGGGTAAAGTTGCTGAGGCCCCTGTTCTCACAGGAAAGCTTGATAAGAAAGAATGCTGTGGCTGTGATGTCCTGCTTTGAGCTGAGCAGATGCTAGATGTACAGAAAATAAGAAGATACGTTGATTCCCTGTTTTTACACAAGTCAGAAGCAGCAGTGAAATTATGGACTCACCATCCATTCATCCGTTTGTCCCACAAATATTAGTTAACCCTTATAGAAGGCCAGGGATATCACCCCGTACTGCACCCTGGTCTAGAAGACTGTAATATAGGATGCTTGAATCCCCTGCCTACCTGTCACATGGATGCAGTATCATTAGGGATCCTTGGAGCAATGTTGTGGGTTATATGAGAGGAAATGTTTTTGATTTAAAGGATGTTGATGATGTAAACTCCAGGTGCAAAAGATCAGACACCTTGAGGACCACTGTAGTGCCCCCCAAAGGTATGCCACCATCTGCACTGTCTGCTATGGCAGCCACTAACTACACGTGCTACTGAGCCCTTGAAATGAGGCTAGTCTGAATTGAGATGTGCTGTAAGTGTAAAATGAATACCAGATTTTGAATACTTAGTAGAAACAAAAAGAGTGAAGTATCACAGTAATTTTCATATTGGTTACATGATGAAGTGATAACACTTTGGATATACTGGGTTAAATGAAATATATTATTAAAATGAATTTCACATTTTGAAAACGTAGCCACTAGAAAAATTTAAATTACATCTATGGCTCACATAATTTTCTGCTGGGCAGCGCTGGTTGAGAGGGACACAGGAAATGGTTGAGTTTCTTCTCTAGCATCCTGTCTCTGAACATTTCCCGTCCTGACAGAAATCATGTATGTGAGTTCTCAAGTGTAAAGTAAAGTATGATTAGTCACATAACTATGAACCTGCAGGATTTTTGACCTGTAGTACAGTGAGAGAATGAGGTTTTCCCTATAACCCCAGCTGTGGATATCTAAATCTGTTCATGAGAGATTTTCACACATGGTCACCGTATTCCTAATTAAACATATTATTGTTTTCTTGACAGTATTTTTGTGCCTTTGAGTCTTAGGACATTTATATTTTGTTTACTGAAGAGGATGTGGTTGTAGAGAAAATGGCACTCTCAAACACTGTGGCAGAAAGTGTAAATTGATAAGCCTTCTTGTCAGGCAGTCTAACAGTAGCTAGCAGAATGAAAACATACATATCCTTACATTTCAGCACCACTTCTAGGAAACCGTCCTTCAGAAATGCATATAAACAAAGATGTTGTTCAAGGAGGTTCATGGCAGCATTGTTTGTGATAATGAAAATTAGGAAAAGCCTAAACACCCCTCAGTAGAGGAGTGGTTAAATAAATTTTGGAATATGCACAAAATGGAATAATTATAAATATTTAAATAGATTGGGTTATAAGTATGTGTACTACTAAGGAATGAATACAATGATATATTATTAAGTTAAAAAAATCAAAACCAGTGGTTACCAGGGAGGAGCGGGAGGGAAAGGGGTAAGATAGGGGTAGGGGATTAAGAGGTACAAACTACTGTGTATAAAATAAATAAGCTACAAGGATACATGGTACAACACAGGGAATATAGCCAATATTTTGTGACAATTATAAATGAAATATAACCTTTAAAAATTGTGAACCCCTATGTTATATACCTGAAACTTATAAATATTGTACATCAACTAAACAAAAAGGAAAATATCATTGGCCAAAAAAAAAATCAAGTTACAGACTAATACATGGAGTATGATTCTGTGTATATGTCCACATATGTCTGTGAATGCATTCTTGCACATAAGGGAGATGGGAACTGATGCCCACTTGTTGGGAATGGTCACCTCTGGGGAAGGTAGAAGATGGGGAAGGAAGGGGTTAGTTGAAGGCTGAAATGAGACATAAGCTTTTGTTCAGCATACATCTGTATTTTTGAATCTTTGACAATGAGAAAGATTTATGAATTCTGATGTAATTTATCACATAATAAAGACAAGGAAAAAAGGGAGTAGACGATGGGCTGTGGGAACAATGGATTGCCTCTAGATTTTAGGGTTACTAATTCTGCTAATAAGCATGAGAGTATACTTAAGATAAATATTAATCTCCTCAAGCTCAACTTACATGGTCTTTTCTAAAGACCTTCTTGAAAAGAAGAGGCAAAAGGTGTATTGAATTTAATCTCCAAAAACTCGTGCCAAGGCACGTTGAGTCTAACTGATTTACTGTCCACAGGGACAGTCAACTCCTCACTGAAAAGTTCACATGCAATTCTACAGGGACTCGAAAGGAAGGCTATATTTTAATTGTGTATAATTATTACAGGTGCAGCAATAAGCTCCCTGATTAAAGCTGCCAAATATGCTATTACTGTTTTGAGAAAGTTTTACTGTTTGGAAAGAGCCTAGTTCGGGGCCAGAATGGTTCTCTAGTCAGTTCTGCCAAAAGTGATTAGTTTTGATGGAAAGAGGATTGGCTGCTATATAATTAACACTACTGTTTGTTATATAAGAAAGTTGTTAAGAGAGTAAATCCTAAGAGTTCTCATTACAAGGAAAAAAAAATTTTTATATTCTTTTAATTTTGTATCTATATGGGATGATGGATGTTTACTAAGCTTACTGTGATAATCATTTCATGATGTTCGTAAGTCAAATCATTATCTGTACACCTTAAACTTATACAGTGTTGTGTGTCAATTATATCTCAATATAACTGGAAGAAAGAAAAGAAAAAGAGAAAAAAGAAACTAAAAAAAAAAAAAAGGTTTGGCTGCTACTATAGAGTCTTCAAAACACCTAATTTACTTTCTTGTGTTGGGGAAGGTGCTAGAACAGACTTAAGAAACAATGAGAAGAAGCTGGCCCTGGACATGGCTACTAATGCTGCCTGTGCATCTCTCCTGAAAAAGAAACAGGGAACAGGTACTTGATTTTAATCCTTCTTCCTCCTGATGCCATCATGACTAAGAGTTATCGATTTAATATTAGGGAAAATGTTTTCTTGGTAAATTCTTCAGGTGATTCTCAAGTTAGATTTTATATCCTTGGTCTGAATCAGAACTTCAACATGGAAGAATACCTTTATGCAAACAAATTTGAAGAGACATCGATTTTTTGCTATGATTAGTATGTTTCTTTTATTCCTTGCAATCAAGTTCTAATTACTGTGCTTTCCATTACAGTCCTTATCAGAGAACCATTGTTTCCATATTCTCATTTCAGATTTGTTTTTATGAGTGGTTATCACTAAATATTTTTTTAATTATGCATTCAAGAGCTTTATGATTATATTTTGTTTCTATTTTAAATGAGGGTATCAAAATTATTTGTAATCAAAATTTTGTAATCAAAATTATTCTAGACTTTGTAAATGTATCGGTATCTCTTCACAGTTCTATGCGTGGTTTTTTAAAGATAAGAGTGTATATTCTTTTTTTTTAATTAATTTATTTTTGGCTGTGTTGGGTCTTTGTTGCTGCGCACAAGCTTTCTCTAGTTGTGGCGAGTGGGGGCTGCTCTTCGTTGCGGTGCACGGGCTTCTCATTGCGGTGGCTTCTCTTGTTGTGGAGCACGGGCTCTAGATGCGTGGGCTTCAGTAGTTGTGGTACACAGGCTCAGTAGTTGGTGGCTCGTGGGCTGTAGAGCGCAGGCTCAGTAGTTGTGGCGCACGGGCTTAGTCACTCCGCGGCATGTGGGATCTTCCCAGACCGGGGATCGAACCCATGTGCCCTGCATTGGCAGGTGGATTCTTAACCACTGCGCCACCAGGGAAGTCTGAAGATAGAGTGTATATTCTTAAAGATAATGCCTATTGATGTGGGAGAAGAGGTTTGAAAAGTTCACATGCGGTTCTATAAAAATGAAGAGTTTGGTGGTTTTGAAAAGGTGTTAAAGGAAAGAAGAGGTGTTAAACACATTTGCACTGTTCATAATTACTATTCAGAGATTGGCTGTTGATTTGACTTCTCAGTATATAGCCTGCTGAATGTGCTCCCCTAGATTCATTCTAACATGGTGATTCCAGAAAGGAGTACTGGGAGTGGCAGGGTGTGAACTCTTCTTCCCATCCACCTCTCCTCTGTCCCTCTTTCATTTATCATCAGCCTCCTGGCCCATGAGAAACCCAGAGAGGTAGAAAAAAAGAAGGGTGGAAGATGCTTGGTTGGAGGGAACATTTGATCTCTTTTTTCTCACTTCTCAAGCCTTATTCTACTTAATTATCTCCTGTTTGGCACTTTAATTCCACTTTGAAGTATAAGCCTGTAATGGATACATTTTTACTGCCGTTTTCTAGAAAGGAACTAGTATAATGGAGGATTCACCTTTTGCAAGTCTTTGCATTGCTACTCATCATTCTGGACTCTTTTAGTATCGCTTTAGAGTCTGAAGTTTAGACTGGTTCATGTTGGTGGAGAATCACCAAGACAACTTTTTAGAAATTTCCATTATAGAGGCTAAGTGCATGTGTTTTCATTTTATCCTTAGGGTATTATCATTTTCAGAGTTCTCCAACTTGGGTAATGAGATGCTCATTTCTGTTTCTATCATTTGAATCAAATTCCCATTAATGTTTGAACCCTTGGAAAACTTATTTCTCCCTCAGGTATCCCTTGATTTATGAGAAGAGTCAATATTATGCTGTCCCATATTCCATTTCTAGCATAAGCAGCAAAGTATATCAGTCCCCTGGTTTCCTGCTGTAGTCAATTAAAGAAAGCAAACAGCCCCCCTCTCTTTGTGGCTTACCAAGGGAACTTCCCAGAATCATCTTCCTTACCTATCATCAAATTCCCATCATAATTCTCACAAATCCATTGTTCCGTTTGTCCCTTATTTCAGATAAGTGTTTGTTCCAGATTCTTATTTAACCTCAGTTCAGGTATAATGTAAACTATTAAGCAGTTAGGGACTTCTTAATTATTTAAGCCATGAATGTTTGCTGGCAGAGCAAGTCTTTCTTTAAAGTAATTACTCATGCATAGATGTGTATAGGTTCTACCAAATGAGTGAGAAAGTGTTCACCAGCTGAGTGGTGCTCCCTAGCTACATTTTGACTGAGAAGCCGTATTTGCAGCCATGTGGGAGAAACACTTTTACTTGAGGTGGACCTCTCACGCCCTGCTGCCTTGGTTGGGTCAGGAAGAAGGACTATGACCTAATTTCCTTTCTCTGCCACTGACTTCCTGCCGCTATATGGGCACCTCCAAAACATCCTGACTGAGGAGTAAGGTTTCTTATGAGCTAACAGTTATCAGAGTCTCATGCACACTATGAGTTTGATGGTGACAGACAATGAAAATATCACACCTGCTCAGACCCCAGAGAGCTACACCCAGAAGCCTCCACATGAACAGCTGGAGCTGGAAGAGGCAGGTGGCAAACTTTTCTCTTTTTCTCCCCATTTTTCTGTAGTCTTTGTAGAAAAGGGCAGGGACGTTGGTGTTCTGTTTCTCTGTTTACTCCAAGTTTCTTTAGTTTACCTTCCTAAATTTGTGCTCTACTGATTTCAGTAATGAGGTAATTAATCTTGGGGCCTGGCACACAGAGCCAAGAAATGAATCTTCGTATTTCATTTTTCATGTTACCTTTTTCTCTGTTTTCTTTTTCTTCATTTGCCCAATTATCCAGTTTAAAAAATTTTAATTTGTATTTTGATCCTCGTTGGAATGAGAGTTTGAATATTTGGCCATATAGCAGATTGCCAGCATGAGCTCTAAGCCAGAAGAGGTATATTCTGACATCGTGGTCCACTTTTAAAAGCACATCTTGAGGGCTTCCCTGGTGGCGCAGTGGTTGAGGGTCCGCCTGCCGATGCAGGGGACACGGGTTCATGCCCCAGTCCGGGAAGATCCCACATGTGGCGGAGCGGCTGGGCCCGTGAGCCATGGCCACTGAGCCTGCGCGTCCAGAGCCTGTGCTCCGCAACAGAAGAGGCTGCAACAGTGAGAGGCCCGCGTACAGCAAAAACAAACAAACAAACAAACAACAACAAAAAAAAAAACAAAAGAAAACACCACATCTTGAATTTCTTATAGGGACAAAATAATTTACATGTTACAGTTACCGTGAAGGGTAACTTTAGGATACAGGGTGGGGTCAAGCCATACTTGAGGATTGAACCTTTCAGTTCTTTTTCCAATTTTTAAAAACTAGGGTATAATTTACATTAAGTAAAGTACATAAATCTTAAGTGTACATCTTGATGATTTTTTTTTTTTACTGTGCTTACACTTTTTTTAAAATTCATTAACCTGATTTAATCTACACTGAAATTAACCTTTTGTTTTTTTTCCGGCTGTGCCACACGGCATGCAGGATCTTAGTTCCCCAACCAGGGATTGAACCTGGGCCCCCTGCAGTGGAAGTGCAGGGTCCTAACCACTAGACCGCCAGGGGATTCCCACTGTGCTTAAACTTATTAACCATAACTCAGATGATAGAGGACACTTCCCGCACAACAGAAGCCTCCCTCAGAATCCTCTGCTTCTCTCACCATAGATTAGTTTTGCCTGTTTTCAAACTTGATATAAATGGGATCAAACAGTGTGTGCTTTTTGGTGTCTAACTTCTTTCACGTAACACGTCTATGAGATTTTACATGTTACTGTGTTTATCCCTCCACCGTTTGTTTATTTATTTGTTTGTTTGTCTATCTAAGTTCTGGTGCTTTGGAACATGTAAATCCAGGGCAGTGAGATTGAGAAAAAAAATGGAAGTGAGGTAGGGGAGGCTGAGAAGCACTACTAGGGGATACATTACCATGATAGTCATGCCCCAAGACGGGCTATGAAGATACCGCTCATTATCAGCACTTGGCCATATGAGAAGTTTCCAGAGAAACTGTGCCTCAGAGCAGTCCACAGAAGGAAGGAAGGAGAAGTTTATTTGCCTGGCTCTCACTTTCTGTTTGGTCAGAATTTGCACCGTGGCCAGTCATCTTCCTCTTGCTTAAAGCAAAGTGCCAAAGTAACCATTGAAGGACAAGGAATATCTCCAATATTGAAAAACACAGGTTTGTAGTAGCAAAGTAGAAAGGGGAAGAGCTTTGCTATTTGTCTTTTTGTCTTTAGCTTAAAAGGCTACTTTTACCAAGTTCATGGCCAGTCCTGAAGTTTGTGGGTGTGTATGGAACAGAACAAAATACCTTCCTCCCAGGTCTCCAGAACTCCTCTTAAGGAGAATGGAGAAGAGTACAGTCAACCCGGAGACTTCTAATAGTTTGGAAGCTGAAGTCATTGAAGGCCACCTCTGTTCTGCGTAAAGCCACTTGTTCTTTTACCTTTCTTTCTCTCTTGTATGAGATAAATCGGTTTCTATATCCCTGCCTTCTCCCCTGCCCCTTCCTTTTTTTTTCAATAATCATTTTTCTAAACCTATGAAGACTTAAAAAAACTACAGTATCATCAAACATCTTGTGATGGTCTAAATTTACCATTTTCTCTTACATGTTTTTTATTCTTTGCTTATTTATTTATGTATTTTTAAGTAGGGTCCAAACTGATAGCTATGTCTCGTTTCTTTGTTTTTCAATTAATGTTTCCTTTCCCTCTCCTTTTCCTCTTTGTTTAGCCTTGCAGTTTATTTGTTAAAGAAACTGGGCCAATTTCCCTGAATTTCCCAGTGTAGACATTGCATGCATGCATTCCCATGGTGTTGTCATGCTCCTCTGTCCTCTGTATTTTTGTCAATTGGTGTTACATCTAGAGGTTTGATTAGATTTGGATTCTATCTATCATCTATCACCTATCTATCTATCTATCTATCTTAGGGATAGAGGGAAGAATACTTCATAAAGAAAATTGTGTTCTTCTATCAGAGATGCATAGTATCTGTTTGTCACTTGTCCTGCAATGTTAGCATCCATGGATGATCATTGTCTAGATTCATTATTTCACTAATGGTTGCAAAATGGTGATATTCTAATTTTGTCACTCCTTTCTTGGTTATTAGTTGGAACATTCTATAAAGAAAAATTTCCCCTTATCAACTCTTTGGTTACTCGAGCAATAGTTTGTATATCAGGGGCAGAATAAAGCCTTGATTTTTATTTACCTTTTAAGAGTTTTCAAAATAACCTGCTGGTTCCCTGTTATTTTTCGAAGGGGGCCAATGAATTCTCTTTGGTGTGTGTTGAAATATTTGCTGTGTTTTAATCCAGCATAGTTTCCTTACTGGTAGCCTATCTTTGGCTAGTGGAGGCCTCTTCTGGTTGGATCCTGAGCCCTTTTAAAATGATGCTATCTTTGCTAGGATCCTTGTTTTATGGCATAACAAGAGGTTTCAGGTCTCTCTTTTACAGTTTCTTCCCCAGACTTGGAATCAGTCATATCTCCAATGAGCATGGGCTTATAGTATTTAGAGACCATGTTCTGGGTGCTATATATAACATACATTTATTGAGCTCTAACAATGTGCTTATACTTGCATTTCAGTTTTCCCCTTAAAACTATACCTCGTGTAACCTGTTGCTATAGGAATTTGACTAGACAGTTTGAATTTGACTGGACAGGTGAACAGTTAAAGATCAGATGTCTTCCTTTTGAACTCTGTTTAAGGTTGACTTAACATTTGATGGGGTTCAGCTCTTTCTATTTTAAAACTTTTATTTTTCAATTCAGTTTCTTTTGCTTCTGAGTATACTTTATCAATGTTTTCTAAAATGAAACTGAAGCTTTTGTGTTTTCATTCTCTTTCTTTTTCTTTTCCTTTCCCCCCCCCTCATTAGTTATCTTTCTACCCAGTGACCTTGCCCTCAGGTAAGGCCACAGGTTGTCGACTGACTGAAGCCACCTGTGCACTTGTCATTGGGAAAGGAGGTTGGATGCACAGTTGTCAGGGTGGACGGGCTTCTGGTGTGTTCCACATTGGTCATGGTGCATGTGGCTGTCGTATTTTGTTTAAGATAGACTAATGGTACCTCGGCACCATGTGCTTTACTTTTCTGCATGTCTAGGTAACATGCAGACAAATGTACTTGTCAGCCTCTGTGGCAACAGAAACTAATCAGTTAGACTGGAAAGCAAACGTAGAAAAATATCCTTGGAGAAAATACAACCCGTATGTCTGAGGGAAGATTACAGTGTTTTGAATTGTCAGGAGCTTTGAAAGTGAAAACAAAATCTGAGCCATTTGTAATTTCTCTGTTTTGCTTTTCCCCCATTCCTTTTAGATGCAGTCCGAACATTAAGCAATGCCGAGGACTATCTTGATGATGAAGACTCAGATTAATTCCTTTCCAGAGCTTTGAGATCTAAAACTTGTGTTGCTTTTGCCATTTCAAAACCTTGTCTTTGCCAGAAGAGTGTTGGTAACTGTAAAAAAAGAGAAAAAAAAGTCTATATGAACGTGGCAGTATTGCGCTGTTTGAATAAAACATGTAAATGAATAGGTCTCACCTTCAGTTTGCCAATAAGTGACTGGATATTTTGCTGTATAAAGTACATTTTTGTTCACCAGAGTAGAACAAGAAGAGATTATTTCTATTTATCAAGCTTAAAAGAATTTTAAGAAATTTTTTCTTTAAAAAAATCGGGATTTTTTTTTTTTAAAGTTCTTTACCTCAAGGATTGAGATATTTTGAATGGATTTTTCAAGGGGGGAATGCTTATTATAATAATAAACTGAAAGACTTAATAGAAAATCGTCAGCTATTCTGACAAAAATAAACATTTTAAGAGACTTTATTTCCTTTGTTTGTGGTATCACTCTTTGCTGGTAAATAAATAAAGGTTTTTATATTTATATTTAGGTAAAGACTGATTTGATTTTTTAAATAACATTTTGTATTATTAGCACAGAAGAATCATAGTAGCCAAATTTTCTTTCTTTCTTTCTTTTTTTTTTTCTGGATACAGTGTATTTTATTGATGGTACATGACAAAGTAGGGTTCCCTAAGCCCCTCCCCTTCTTTAGGGGGTCTGGGATGGAAATCGTGTGGAGGTCGGGAGATTCTCAGTGTCTTGGGGGATCCAGTTGGCATAGTAGCCAAACTTCTGTTCAGCCTTCTATATCTGCTTTGATTAAAGTGAAGACAACAGTCATTGAGGAGATACATTTCTAATAAAAGATATAAACTTTAATAATTATGAGACTTTCAATTTTCTCTCCAATGTTGGCCTTAATATGAAGAAACCCAGCAACTCATTAAAGTTTGCTTAAGGTTTAAAAGATTAAAAAATTGATTTCCTTATTATGGAAGCTGCTATAATTTTTCATAATGGAGTAGCGTTCAGTTTTTCACTTTGGTGACAATTATTTTCTCTAAACATGGCTCTACCTCGTAATGATCTGGATTCTTTTGCTAAAACATCAGTTTAACATTGCAGGGAGCCTTCTGTACTACTGAAGTGACACTTCATTTGAGATTCTAATCTTGTATCACTGCAGTGATGATATTAGAAATGACACAGCCATTGGCATTTGCCCGGATTCCAGGCCCCAGACCCAGAAGTATATTTTGCAAGAAGCCTTTGATGCTAATTTCAAAAACACACATTGATGAAGAGAAGAAAATGTCTGAAGAAGGAAGTGGGTTAGCTCAGGAAATGAATAACTGCCTTTAGAGGAGTTTTCTCTGTCTGTGACTTTGGCTTTTCTCTCTGTGGGTGCTTTGAGAAAGGATACCCTGAGAAGCCTGGTAGAGGTCTATCAAATACCCCAAATACATTTTAGTAGAAAGACATCTGTATAAGTAGTAACAGCGAAAGATGAGCACAAAATCTAAAATTAGTATTTTATTTTCAAAACAAATGTGTAAATTTTAATTAAACATTTTTATTGCTTCATAAGCATAAACTTGAATATATGAAATTCTCATTGAAATTCTGTTCCCACAGAACCTTTTAAGGATTTGTTTTTTAAAATAGGGCTTGTGCCTTAACAAAAAGCTTTTGGAAATCTCTAACTTTTTACTCTTGTATACTTTGGACCGGGGGTAATCAGGATAGATGCCAACTAAGCACTCAATTTTTTTTTTTTTTTTTGCAGTACATGGGCCTCTCACTGCTGTGGCCTCTCCTGTTGCGGGGCACAGGCTCCGGACGCGCAGGCTCAGCGGCCATGGCTCACGGGCCCAGCCGCTCCATGGCATGTGGGATCCTCCCGGACCAGGGCATGAACCCGTGTCCCCTGCATCGGCAGGCGGACTCGCAACCACTGCGCCACCAGGGAAGCCCCACTCAATTTTTTTTAACATCAGTAGAGATAACACAGTTTGTAGGAATATAGACAATTTTTATGAAAATACTACATGCTTGTTGTAGACTTATAATGTATTTGAGGAAAAGAAGCCTCACTGTCATTGCTTTTAACATTATCAAAACTAAGAGAATTCTAGAAAGTTGGCCAACTATGTATAGTTTTTTTGGCAGTGGAGGGTAGACTTAGGTATATGCACAGTTTTTTTTTGGTTGAAACAGCACAATGCATTTGGCTGTGGTTGAAACTCCATGGGAAAATTTACTTTGCTGCTTGTTTATTCAGTCTAGCTTATCTGAGCTTTTGCAGAGATTGTTTAATGCTGAACTCAGCAAAAAAATTCAGTTCCAGGAACTTGCCACCACTCTGACTCTGTGCAGAGGAGAGCTTTGATTATATTCTAGAAATGACTTTGAAGGTTTTGCTGTAACCCGAGCTTTCTGACAGTCACTGTGGACTGAACTCCTTCCCAGACACTGCATCCTTTACATAGAAAATACCTTTCAGCCCCTTGGGCAGTGGGAGACTTGTCCAGCTATAGGCCCAGTAACCTCATGCAAAGAACAGTTTTTATCATAGTTTCCCATTTTAGTTTCTTTCTGGGACTGGTGTCTTGCAAATTATTTGTTGCTAGATTGCCATGCATTACAGTTGTCAGTTTCTCTTTTTTCAGTGAGCACCCCCATTGGCTGCTTTTTAAAATAGGATTGGGTATGTTGTTACCCAAAGGGAAATGTTGAGCAAAGCAGTGGTGACCGTATTTTTTTTTCTCTTAAAAATCAAACTGGAAATAATGCTAAAACTGAAATCTGAGATAATTTTAGGCAGAGTTGAAAACATAATGTTTCCATATAAACTTTCCTCATGACTGTTCTTTATTGTGTAGAATTTCTGATTTACTGATATTTTTTCTTTTGTGAATCACGTATTTTTCATCTTTTCTTTGTAAATGATGATTTCTGATAGGCTACAAGAGCCTAGCATTTACATCTGACCATCAGCATTTCCCTGTTGACTTTTTTGTGTTTGTTCTCGTGAATTTTATGTTGTAAATATGTGTGTAGCAGTAATACACAGATAGCCATACATTGTGCAGTCAAACTTCGAAGTGTCTGATTACTAAAAGTTGAGGTTTTGGTGGGAGAGGTATTGCAAAAGATTTTGCTCTATTTTAACTGAAAATATAGCTTTGGTGAACAGTTTTCTTAAATGAAGGAAAAATTACAGACCACAAATTTACGGTTTCTGTCTCCTTATTTCTTAATAACAAGTCTGTACATCTTCTCCCTTAAAATGACATAAAATTAAATAAAACAACCATTTATTAAATGCCTACTCTGCTAGTTCTGTGCTAGGTACTTTCATAGACTTGATGTCACTTGATTCTTACAGCAACCCTGGGGCGGCGAACATTAACGCCCCTACCTTTTTACAGAGAAGCTGAGGTTTGAAGAAGTTAAGTAAGTGGCTCAAGGTTACCCTGCTGGAAGGTGGAAATGCAGGTCTGGCCGACTCCTGAGCTCATGCATCTGCTGCCTACTGCAACTGACAGGTGACGCCATTCACATGCTGCCAGAAAAATATGTAGACAGAGACCAGCTCCTTTTCCAACTCAAGCTTTGGATGTAGTATCTAATAAATTGAGCTAATGTAATTGAATGTGTTATTTAAACCAACCCTCTAAAAAAGCATTTTTTTTTTTAATAAAGGATCTCCTTTTTTTTCCCCCAGAAAAATTTTGGCAAAACTTTTTGGTTCCCAGTAACCCTGAAGAAATATGATTTAATGAAGCAGGTCGTACCCCTAAGTTTCCAACATTTCCAACTCAATGCATAGACTGAGTATGAAAGAAGGAAAGTCTAGATTAGCAGCTGTTCATCTTGCTCTGAGTTTGCATTGCTAAATTCAACATTTCCCTCAGAGAGTCTGAGGGCTCCTCACATATTTCCACCTCACCATGAAAATAAATGCGTCCCTGGGAAGGGTCAGAGAATGTTTCTTACCCAAGCGTGGGAGGTCATCATGGACATGCAGGTAACCTCACGCTTCCGAGGCAGTTCCGCTGCGTCTTCTGCCAATGGCCATCTGCTCATTGTTCCCCACAGGCTCCCACCTAAACTTGCACTGTTGCCAGCTAGGAGCTGGAGTGAGGCCAGGTTCCTGGCTGTGGCTGGAAAAGAAAACTGGGGAATCTAAAGGTGCGAGTTAGAGAGACTGAGAGGAAGCAGGAAGGAAGATGGAAGAAGAGACAAGGAGGAAAGAGGCTAAACAGCAAAGGAGAAATGGTGACCTTTCCTAAATTACCCATAGTTCTGATATGAAATCATAAGAATGCTTCAAGAAGTGGCGAAGCGTATGGCCTTTGGAGTAGAATTCTCTGGATTCAAGTCTGGTTCTGTTGCCTGTTGCTGAGTGACCTGGACAGGTTACCTAAAACACTCAGATTCCTTAACTGTAAAATGGAGGATGTAATAGTACCTACTGCTTAAAGTTAAAAGGATTAAATAAAATGATCTGTGGAAATGACTTAGGAGAGTACCTGGCTGAGTAACTGCTAAATAAATGTTGGCTATACTCATAAGCTTGAATGAGGAAGTTTTCATGAAAAACAAATAGATGTGTACAGATGAAGAATGTATTAACACTGTTTTTCAAAGGCACCATTATTGTGAAGAGTGGGATTCCCTAAAATGCTTTTAAAATGGGTGGAGGACAATGATATTTCCTTACAGTCATTTAGATGTGTTTACTTGTGATAGTAGCATTTTTCAAGATAAATATACTTTCTGTGAGTTACAGGAAGAGATGTGTAACTTGAAAAGACCTGGTTATTACTGTTGTTATTATTAAAATAATTCAAACGTCAAGTGAGGAGAATGTCTCTGCCACTGCTTCAGCTTTATATTGTTGCTTTGGAGTGGTTTGATAGGCTTAGAAAGACCATAGGTCCAATATTTGGTATGTGGTGATTTGTAATTGGAATTGGATGATTTCTAATTTGGTGTTAGCATCTTGCTCTTACATACGCCTTCAAAATGGGAACAATGTGTCTATTTAAATGGATAAGCTTTTCAGCTTTGTATGTTTCCCCCGTAAGGTCTAAGCTTCAAGAATTTGGTCTCCCAGTGTCAATGACATACAGTAGAGAATCTAAGACACCTGGAAGTAAAGTATCATAGAATCCTCACTAACTTTGAACAAGAAGGCGATAGTATAAGAACTAAATTGGGTATTTCATCATTTGCCACTCCAGGAGGGGAACTGTTGGGGCCACCAGGAAAATGCCTTCTTATTCCAAGAGGAAGTTTCAGATGTAGAAGTGAGGCCTGTTTGGGTACTGGGTGGTGTGGAGAATCAGCCAAAGCCAGTCATTGACTGAAACTAGAAATAGCTGCAGAGAAGTCCACAGCTCCGAAAAGCTCTCAGGTAGAGAGGATTTGTCACCATGACACCAGGACTCAGGGAAACCTGGCCTGTAACCCTTGCCCTGTCATTTCTGAGCGCTGTGACACTAGCCAGGCCCCTTGATGCCCCTGTAATGAGGATCAGG